TTTAAGTTCTTCAATTTTCAGAGGCTTTGCGAGATAATCATTTATTCCTGACTCTATACATTTACCTTGTATCTCTTTTATAGTAAATGTTGTTAGGACAATAATCGGTATGTTTGAAATTGGTGGCCTCATTGCTTTAATTATTCGCGAAATATCAAAACATGACATTATTGGCTAAATATAATAAATAATTAATTAGTTGTGAATATTTCATAATGTTAAATACTAATGATGAATTAAACTTACTAAATTGCATTCTGTTAAAATTAGTGAGATTCTGTGAGATTTTATTTGATCCATATCTGGATTAGATGAACTCGTGTACATATTGCTTAATAATTTAAACTCAGAATCAATCAACTTGACTGCTTCTTGGCCATTTGTTGCAGAGATTGTTGAATATCCAAGTTTTGAAACTTTCTGTAATGTGCTCTAAGGATAACATTATATTAAAGAACTGGTAAACTAATGAGTCAGCATTACTAAAATAATTACCTCTAAACTAATAGGATCATCGTCCTACAATAAAGTTAAACCAACAAATTAAGAAAGTTCGGTAAGATTATTAAATATTCATAATTTGATCAAAACAAAAGAAAAAAAGGCATACCACACATAAAATACATTTGCTTTCAAAATCTTTTCTCGTTATTCCCTCATATATATCTTGATTCGCATTTTCCATCTCACAAATTCCATAATCCGCTACTCGCTTCAGAATATTTGCAATTTCGTTTTCATGACTGTGCAAATTTGTATTGTTTTTGTTAATAGCTTCATTTTTTTCTATATACATAAATTGTTCAATTAATTTTTTCCATGTAATTGGAGTATAAATGACCGAAGTTACTCCCCCAACTTTACTTATTAATCTTTTAGCTAATGCAATTCCTTCATTAGTCGGAAATACTATAAAAATTATTACTAAATTACTACTATTCATCTCTAACTCTCTTAATTCTAATGCTACTTTTATGACCTCTTCTTCATTATTTTCATAAAGATTGATGAACACTATATCATAAGCAGAACGTTCATGCAATTCTTTATATGTTCGTGCTGCTTTAATACCCTTATCAAAAACATCGAACGCATCAACTTTTCTGACATCTTTAAGGTATTTAAATATTGCATTTCTCATACTTTCGACTGGATGAATTATTAGTATCCGTTTTTGTTTTATAACATTGGGTAATACATAACTTTGTTGTAACTGTGTCTTTAAGAATGAGGATGTTGGAAATTTTGAAATCATGAATGTTGTTAATGGTAATAATTCGACATTCCATGTAAACCAAAATTTACTTCCTTTTCCAAACTGACTTTCTACTTTAATTTCTTCTCCAAACTATAAGTCGTAATGCTCGTCGATTGCTTAAACTTATAAACATTTTGTTACATATTACAATTTTTAATAACAATGCCTAATATTAAATACTTTTAGTTTCTTATTAAAAACAATTATAAAGTTTTCAAATATAGAGGCTGATCAATTTGAAGCGCAATATCGTGAAACAAACATAACTGAATTTACTAAAGAATTGGTTTCTGACTTTAAATCTATGGCCAAAACACTGGGTTTAGATTACATTATCGATATTCCACATCCAGACGAGTTTAATCAGGAAATAGATGATAAGATTTATTTAGATCATGATATGTATGAAACAATTGTATTTAATCTTTGTAAGCATTTTAAAATTTTTTTTTTAAAAATTCAAAAAGTTCATTTATTAAAACGTGAAGAGCTTATTGTACTAATATATATATATTTGTTAAAGGTTCGAATGCACTAAAACATACCTGGAAAGGATCTATAGCAATCCGCTTATATCTTGACTACAAAAATAAAAAAAGGATGATAGTTTTTGAAGTGACTGATACAGGTTAATAATGCTCTACTAAATTTATTACTCTAGATAACCATTTAAAAATAGAATAACTTTATAAATCTACATTGTATTAATCTTAACTTTGGATTAACTCAGGAGTTGGTATACCAGAAGTCGCCCTTTCGAACATATTCCAGCGTTTT